AAGAGGAAACGAGAGAGATGATGGAGTGATGAACTATGAGAGGTTGAGGTAAACGTTCCTCTGGTATTCTTTTCTTGATAACAGAAAAAAAAGTCCCCTATCACAACGGCATCGTAGGCTTAAGACTGCTGGGGGCAGCTTTGCAACAAAACAGCAAAGAAAGAGAAAGGAGAAAAACTGTTACTGGTTTGATTTGTCATTGTCACCCCAACCTCACCCCTCTCCATCCTTTTTTCATCCCAGAGAGTGAAAGAAAGCAGGTATATTGGCAGGCAGGTCTGGGTGCCGGCGATAACAATGTTGGCTTTGTTCCTCGCAAGAATTGGACAAGCGCTTCGAGCCGCCACCCCGAACACAACAATTAAACAAGCACAACGTTCAGCGCTGCGTTTTCGACATACTGCAATCTGGCGGAAGGCTTTTCTCCGTAAATCTATTGGGCTTTTCAACGCAGCTGATGCTGGAGGCTACGCTGCGCTCGCTGATAGCAGCAAATCAGTTCCAACTGAGATCTACACCTGTTGCACACTAAGCTCTGTTTATTGTCCTCAGTCATTTACTAAAACACGCATACATGTGCAGCCTAATGAATACCCAGCAACCATTAGACAGACGGCACATAACATACACACCAAAACCAACAGAGGAAGGCGCACACACACACACACACACACACACACACACACACACACACACACACACACACACACACACAAGCTGCCCTGTCTTCATCAGGGCAGACCAACGGGTTGTGTCACATCTGCCAGAAGTGTGTTCATGTGAGAAAACGGTGCATCCGGCCCAGAACGGTCGCTTTCACACATTAACAATCCCTCAATCCACACCTGGGTCGGAGGCAGTGACACCCCGCTTTACTCTGTTTAAATTGTAGAATGAAAAACAACAAGACACACAAACATATTACAGCTTACTGCTAGCAAAAGTCTTAAGTAAATCCAGCGCCAGAGCCAAATCCTCATCCAGAGCTGTGATTTGTCTGTCTCAATAAATGTTGTTTTTCTTTTCCACTATTCATAGCCCTTATGAAATTTCTATCACTTTGACATTATTTTCTACGTATTGTGGAGACTGTGACTCTAATATCATAAAAAGGCAATTTTTTTGCAATATAAAGACACTATATATACTGAGGGAATGAGGAAATGTAACATTTTTTTAGGCTGAGACAACTCTAGCTTTCAGTTTGTGTACTATAATTCATATGATGAACAGGCAACAGTGCAACTGCATACACTGAGGCAGAGCTCTTCTTTAAATTCACTTTCTGCCACATCGCAGTCTATGATGCAAACAGCACAAAACTACAGTATTGATACAAGTCAAGCCAGTCGATATCTAACCTTAAACTAACTTGATGCAGACTGTGGTGGGTAAGACGTGTGTCCCCTGGTGATTATCTAACTAACTTCGGCCTGGTGCCGTGCAGCAATGATTTTTCCCTCTCACATCCACCTGACTGTGACTGGCTGAGCCATTTGCTTTGGCTCTTACCACTTGTAAAGGTTTTCCTTTTCTCCAACATTGGGATGTGCTACTCCACGTGATTGCCGCTAAGTTTCTTCTGACGTTAGTGGAGGGGCTTTTTACCTTTAGGAGTCTGTAAAACTCAGTGGGACCCTGTAGCCCAGCTTGAAGGCAGTTTAAGTCTGCCGAGTAATGTCAATTTAGGTGAAGTTTTAGGCACCAGCGTGTAGGATTTAGTGGCATCTAGCAGTGTAGTTGCAGATTACAACCTCCTCGCCTCACCCTCTTATTCCAAGCATGCAGGAGAAACTACACTGGCCCCATCTAGACCCAGTATTTGGTTTGTCTGTTCTGGGCTACTGTAGAAACATGGCGGCCCTTCGTAGAAGAGGACCCTCTCCGTTAGTAGATAAAAACGGCTCATTCTAAGGTGACAAAAACACCACAACTCTTATTTTCAGCTGATTATACACTAATGAAAACATAACTATGAATATTACATTCTTTTTTCTCTTTCGATCCTCCTCAATGTTACACACTGGACCTTTAAGCAGCCCTTAGGTCAAGGTCACTGTAAGGAGAAGTTTTGTGCGATCCCTTAAATGTCATAGGTAGAGACGCACTGGCGAGCTCCGAGCACCTTTTACCTTTCTGCATAGCAGTAATTATAAATGAAGGTACGTTTCTGAGATTTCTACAACTACACACAGTACACAACTGCCAGCAAATCTGGACTTGGCTTATCAAAAATGTATGATTACACATAATTTGTCTTAAAAAAGAAACAAAAACTTGAATTTGAATGCACTAAAAGCTCAGAGATTCCTCCTAAGAGCATGTCAAGATTTCTCTGCTGTACCATACAGTACATTTTTTGTTACCTCAACAAAAGCAACTGAGAAAAGCCAAGCTTATGTCCACAGCGGCAAAATCACCACTGATCCTTGGGGACAGCATCCTGAGCTGTATTACAAGAATCTCACAGCCACACACAGCCAGAGGCAACACATGATGCTGCCTCCTGCACACTAAAGTCAACTCTATCTGCTTAGAAGGAGTGGTGTGTTTGGCCTATCCCCTCAGTTGCTCTCTGGCTCTACTAGTATTGATTTTACTGGGGGAGGGGGGTAGGGATGTACTTAAATTCATATTACTTCCCAATATACCAACACCTATAACTTTTAAATAACATCAACTTATTAGTTGTTCGTCTTTTCCTCTAGCCACATCTTTTCTCAACAAGGCTTGCAAACTGCTTAATCTGGTGTGGATACAGACCATTCTCACAGCAGACACTCTCGCTTGTCAAACACAGGCATGACTAATAAGATTAATAATGGCTGCATTCAGTTTAGGCGTTGCCGTGCCAGGGCCTTGCTACTGTGCATGCTGGCTCACTGGCATGACTTACTGGCACACCTAAGTGGAACGGAACCATCATTAATGCCATTAGTTACACCTGAGATTTTTATGAAATGACAAGTCAAAACCTCTGCCACGAGAAAGGTCTGTCATTAAACAAACAGATCAGATCTGGCATCGTGGCACTTAATATGACAGCAATTTGCTAACATTTCAAATTCGGTGTTTAACCTTCTGCCAGCCAGATGGCCCACTCACACAGGCAAATATGGCAGCAATACTTCACACCAAATTCAGTTTTTGTGAATGGGAGCTTCACTTCCATAGTAAAGCTGGTTTCACTTCATCCACAGGAGCGATATAGGTTTTTACTTGTCTTTCATGTGCCTGTGTATGGTCCCATTGGGACTTTCTGTATGCGTCTAATTATGTACATATGTGTTGTTGTGTGTGTACCCCAGCAGCAGTAACTGCTACCTTGGCGGCAGCTAATGGGAAGGAATAAAGAATAAGGATCTGAGAGAAGTGAGAAACAGAGGATCCTATATGTTTAGCTGTGTGTACTGGGAGCTAGCGCTGGCTGGCACAGTGCTGCAGTCACAGCTGCAGGTAATTTAGTAATCAGGACTAATGTGTATTTATCTCTCCTGCACTGAGGCTGGAGACTGCTTTACTGATTACACATGCCAGAACCGTCACCTGGATCGGATTGCAGCAGCTACTCGTGAATCCATCTCCAATACATAAAACTAGTCATTTGAGACGAACTTAGTGTTATTTTCTATCTTTATTCACAGAAAGATATGCGTTTCAGAATTTGTAGTATTCATGTCGTTATGAGATGATGCTATTGATGCTGCCCCAGCATCATTTATTCACATAGTGATGAGTTTATTATAGATTTCATATTATATTCAATGTATAACAATAACAGTAGAGAACAACTAATAAACTGTACAATGAAACCAAACAGTGAACACGATAACTGCAGGAATTCGGTGTAAAAGGAGCGATTTGGATGAATTTGGAGCAGATTATTTCCTGTAATATTGATCAGAGATTAGTTTTCTTTCTATTTTTTTATTTTCTAAGAATCATACGTCAATACATACTATCTAAACCTAAAGAAAAATACAATTTAGTTTTTTCTTCACAGAAATGAGCTGAGATATATACCTAATATGTATATCTTTAAAGCTTTCTTACACGCATTAAAATCAAGAAGGCCTTGCGACCCCCCGTGAAGCTTTGGCGACCCCCAGTGTTTGTGTAATTATTCTGACTGCCAGAAGGGGGAGACAAAGGTTCTGCACTGCAGGTTTACGAACAGTTGGTACAACCGGCTCCTGGGTCTTTTAGACTTGTGCTGTGATGTTTGATATTGGTAATATGTTTGAAAAATAATAGAACCATCATGTGCACTAAATCCTGTGCGCCTGTGTGGCGGAAAATCATGGGATCTTCCCTATCAGTATCTGGTGTGACCAAGACTTAATGCAGGCAAAGGTTCATGCTGTCTCTACCCTTCTATTATTGTTGAAAAAGGCCCTGACCAACCGGTAAGATTATCTAGTGCCGCAGCTCCCACGTGATCACTCACTGGCCTCCCACTCCCAAACACTACCAGCTGAGTTCAGTGCAGTGCCAAGCCAAGCCAGCACACCTTTGTGTGGAATTAAATTCAGGTCAGTGCATGCTGGGTAAATGTTTTAGCATTCATAACACCTGAGAACCCCCATTCTCGCTTTTATCTTGCCAGCCGAGAACAATTTCTCTCCAAACAATACTGTATGTCTGCAAGATGTAATCACTATACCCAAGGCTGCTATTTGAGGATATTGGAAATGACAGAACAACTGCGGCCTTTACAGTCACATACATTCACTAAACAGTGTGGCCGTGCTTCAGGTGGGCTACCAGCTTTAGAGAAAAACAATCAATTCCTGGAACACGGTATGAAGAGCAGTTTTCATATCTGACCTGATGGCGTTCAATCACACACACTGCACTTGGTAAAACTGTTGGTTTGGTGGTTCACAGCAGGGCCATTTGTTTCAGATAACTTTGCATTATATATACCTACAGCTCTTACTTTTAGGTGAACAGAGCCTCGTACTATTGATAGGCTGTCAATAGTGACTAAGTGTACTTACCGGCACTGTAGTAGCGGTCCAGCTTCTCCCACAGGGGCTCATCCTCACGCTGGAGATTGGACAGCTTGAGAGGTTCATAGATAGAACCTGAGGGAAAACACATCTGTCACACTCAAAGTGTACAAGTGTTGCTGTTTCTCTATAATGACCTACAACATATTTCATGCCTTAGTTGTCTCATGAATATTTAATACATCTTTAAAAGTGGGTCTCAATCCTGTCCCCTCACATTCATCAACATAATGCCTTAAACTTGATTAAAATTTTAAAAGCACCATGGTTTTCATCTTACAGTTACACAGTGATTCCTCTGTTTTTCCAATCTTGAGACAATAGTCTTATTTCATATATTCCAATATACAGACGTAAAAAGGTCTGCAGGTAGCAACAGCTTGTGAATACCTTAATTTTTACATCACATTTTCTCATTTCCGAATACAAGAGAAAATGAGAAGCAGAGAAAACAACAAAACAACAATAGACACATGCCATCAGTAAAACAGTATTTCACTGCAACACACACCATAACAAAGGGCTCAGCACACAAAACAATATTCAGGCCCAGAGCTAAAAATTCAAATGGTAATGTGGCTCGGAACCAGATATTTCCTAACATTTTCCTCTGAGCTGAGAAAGAGCCGGAGTTTGAGGGAAGCCCCTATCTGTTAGACTTTCTCTATTTTCAGACACTTTTCACTTTGCTGAGATTTGCATTTTAATAGGTTCGACCTTGGGTCAATACCACAGGTACTGAAAAATTCACATTCTGGCTGGAAATTAGCATAATTTCTATCAGCTTAAAAGTTGCAGGGGACAAAGCCAATCCATCTCTTTTTAAAGATAACACTTTAAAAGAGCACAGAGGAAGTCCAATATTCCAATTTTAATTTCTAACATGAGATCAGACAAATGTGGGCAGTTGTTGTGCGGACGGTTTTAAACAATCTTATGACGGACTTCAGTGATGCAGACCTCTAATACTGTTATAGATGCAGTATGCTATATGACTTCATTAATACTGTACATTTATTTTGTGTCACTTATAGGTCTCTCATGCTTACAGTGTGAACAGTGAACAAGACCATTACGCACACTGCTAAACCAACATAAGATATGTTTATGTTATGTTTTGCTCATTATCAGGCAATAAAGTAGCCATAATGAAACAATATGTCAACTTCACAAAATATTAAGGAAATGGATGAATAATAACCCTATTTGTGATTTCCGTTTCACAGCGTATGAAGTAAAAAACCTGTTTTCCTGTGACCGTCACATTATTATGTTGTGACTATAATTATGTCCAGACAACAAATTGCTTTTCTTGTGATCTTTACCCGTGTTCTCTCTGGCCTTCTGTGTGTGGCTGACTGCATTGTTTTCCTCGGATCTGCTGCCACTACTTACCAAGCCTGTGGACTTTCCGATGAGGCCGGGCAGTCGCGGCCACTGAGCCGGCCATTCTCAAAAGGTGAAATTAACGCCAATCGTCTCTCTCAGCTAAATCACAAATCTACGGCAATTCACAGGAAGGAGTTAGTAGCACAGAGTTAGATTTTAGACATGCACAAATCAACAATGAATTACAACTTGGGTGGAGATGATCATGAACAACATGCAATGAGTTACATTATATTTGCTTAGGAATGAGAGAGATAGAGTCATGATGAATTATGAGAAAGACTTTAACAGAATAACTACATACGGTAAGTAAATTAAGAGACAGTTGTACTGCTTAGCTGTACTGCTAAGGATGCACCTCATTAAATTGTTTCTAATTAATGGAAAGTCACAGTTTTTGCTCTAAACTTGTGTTTTCCTTCTTTGCAAGTTGCCTTTTAGCAGATGCAGATTTTTTAAACAGCAGTTACCGTGACACTACTAAATGATCTATGGAGGTACAATGTTATGAAATCTATATTTAACACACCAAAAAAGTAGGACTACAGCCAAGGAAGTACAGATAGAATACTAAGGATACAATGTTGGCTCTCTTATATGGATTAAAAATAGTCTGTGGGACCCCAAAGTGTGTTAGTTTGCAAAGACCATGATAATTCATGTGGTTTTTCTCAGCTGTATCACTACAAATAAGGATGATCCTACATGTGATGATAAACAACAGTTACTGTGATCACCAGAGATTTATCACAGGATCACTTTCCTTCGAGTGCAAGGCTGACCACCAGTGCAAGAATAGCACAGTGTGGCAGTTTCCACAGGCCCTGTGCTCACCCTCCATGCAGTAAACACAGTACAGTGAACTATGGGTGAGATGTAACAGCGAAAGAAGACCTGTTGAGAGGCTCTTAAAATAGCCCCCGAGTGCTGCACATTTACACCTCTGACCTTTCATGCTTGTACCGTCCCTGTAGTGGACACATTGAAATGGGCAGATCAAGTCAAACAGAACCCGGTGTTCAGTGGCTTTACAAGCAGACAACCTCACACAAGCACTAGCACAACAGCAACAATCGGGCGTGTCACATCGTAACGATGTCATGCAAAGTAATGAGTCAGACCTGATCTTTTTGATCGGGCTTTGAATTCCAGGAGTTTCCAGCCGACATCTGCCAGGCTCGCCATGTTTACACTGTGTCAAACTAACTAGAAAGTTGAAGGATCTCCGGTGTGGTCCTTCAAAATAAAATACGGGCAGCCAGGCTTCCACTGACTCATTCTGAAAAACGCAAAGGTAAAAAAGTTGACGGGAGCTTTGAATTGGCAATTAATTAAATTTTATGTCACGTTAATAAGATTCAACCTCTTATATTTGTGTTCGCTTTACGTATTGTTTCCATTTTGGTTAAGCTCACGCTTTTAATTTGAAGGTAATCTTTCTTTACTTCCTCTAGCTAACTGTCTTTAACTTGACATAGTTGTCAACTGTCAAACTACCCGGGAGCACGACACTGACGTAAACGAGGAAACTCTAATATACCACCGTTTATCCTTATTTCAGTGCAATACCTCCATATCTTTCTAATAAAATGAAAATAGCCGAGCATATGTCTGAATTTAAAATCGTCCTTTAAAGAAATGCATCATTAAGTGGAATAAATCTGCTATTTCACCCTGCCGTACAGCTGGATGCCGTATTGCAGTTGGTGTTGTTGTGAGGAGCTGCACTAGCATAAGGATGTGGCTCTTCAAATCAAATCTTTGGGCTTTTTTCTTCCTTTTTGTGGGCCAGTATAACACATGTGCTCTTCAGGATGTGACCGCCGACCTTTTCGGTGGAGAAAACTATGGGACAGTGGCAGCGTTTGGAGATATTTACGCCGATAAACAGACAGACATCTTCATCATCAGAGAGCGTAAGTGACGCTGACGTTCACTCCTCACTACTCTGTTAGCTTAAAAACCGCTGGCACAACCTCTGTACGTTTACTGTAACGTTTGAAAATGACACACTTAAGTTTACATTTCTCTGGATAACAATGGCTACAATTGTGCGTTGACTCATATTCACCTGTACTGTGTAAACATATGGCGCTGTGCTTGCAAGCCCCTTTGCTAAAGCCTAATGAAAACATTTGTGGTGGATATTAAATGAGCTTTAAGTAGCGTAGATGCTAAACTATGCTACGTTGATTTCTTTTTTATTTCAGAGTCTGAAGTGGTGATATTCGTGGCTGACTCGAAAGCACCTTACTTCAAACCCAAAGTTCACATCACTAAGGACCTTTTCCCCAGGTATAAGTGCTTTCCCAATGCCATTCACACATTGAATATAACATGTCATGTCCTTATTTCCTTTCGTTCGTCTGTACTGAGGAGGTGACTCACGTTTCCAGTGTTTACTCTCGCGGGGGGGGGGGATAGCAGCTACAGATAAAAAGCACCATGTCACTGGCTCTCATTTTAATGGACAATCTTCCTGTTCAGTGAGACCATCATCACCAGTGTGGTTCCTGGAGACTATGATGGAGACTCTCAGATGGATGTCCTTCTTACAGCTCAGATCAACTCCAACTTCGAAACTGTCCTCATCTTCTGGGGGCACAACCAGACATTAGGTACAGTTCTCACAGTGAAGGATTTAACTCTCCCTTTGGCTCATGTGATTTGATAGGTCGCAGAATCATGTTGTTAATTATTTGTTGTTTCGTTTTTTTCCCCACATTGTGATACACACTTTTGGTACAGACACTGGTTTACAAACTGGGGCTGGGCTCCGTTGGTGGGGGCAAATGATCAGTGGGTAATTGTGCAGTAAAACTCAAGTTTAGTGGAACTGTTTTTACGGCAGACATTTCGACTCTGTCAAGCACAGCAGTAACTAATAACATCATTAACTGCTGCATTGCACTGCGGAAATAGCTGGAGCAGAGACATCGTTAATATTACGCTAGTTCCACCTGTGCTTTTCCTGCAGGGAGAAGAGACAATGTAGTAAGATGGTATTGAATGATTCAGATTCATTAAGAAAGGATAAAGATAGAACCACATGCAAAGTACAATTTGCTTTTTACAGTGTAATAAAGGAAATCCTGCAAAGCTCATTAGGCATACATGTCAGTCAAATCCAAGAAGCCTATCTTCCTCTCAAGTGCACTTTCAGTAGAGCAAGACCACCTTTTTTTTTTTTTTTTTTTTTTTTAAAGCTGCTGGTGTAAATTAACACTATACAGCATTTAGTAATCATCAGGCTTTCTCAATGCCCACCTTCACTTCCTACCGGCCTTTTTCACAGAAGACATTTTGACATGTCACAGTGGGGGAAGCACAGGTGTAAATAATAATATTAATGATAGCTGAATTCCATTCAGTATTAGGACACGTGAATAGAACAAAGTAGTTGTTGATGTTATTAGTAACACCTGTTTTTCTTTTCCTACCATGACTTGTGTGTGAAAAGGCCCTTTTATCATTCAGTCCAGACTGATGAACATTCGGTAGACAACTGTAAAATGACTTTCCATACTGGAATATATTGATACTATAGCGTGGTGTTCAGTGATATATTGTTTGTTCCTTAAGTAAGGCATCAGTGACTTCAGTGGGGCTTATAACGGTGTCACAGTGATGTTACATTGTGTGTGCTGCTCCTAGTAGATAAAAGTACCTTTTTCATTTGGTTGCAAGATTTATATATATGTGTGTGTGTGTGTGTGTGTGTGTGTGTGTGTGTGTGTGTGTGTGTGTGTGTGTATACAGTATTGTAAATTTAAGTTTCTTTAAGTAGCAGTTAAATACAGTTTCAACCTCAAAGGACATAACAAATTATTGATTTTATTATTTGTTTCTGTTAACTAACAAAATGGAATTAAAACATATACTAAGACCAAAACTAGAATCTAAAGTAGAATCTGAGTAGAAATGTATTAGCCAGGGTTTTATATGAATATATTGTATTGTTGCCAGTTTGTACTTTTTCCATTTAGGCCTTTTTTTTTTTTTTTTTGCTTTCTGCCCAGCTGAATATTGAATTTAGCTTAGTTCATAGCTGTTGACATTAGAACTAAGTGAAGTGTTTGGCCTGATTTGACCAGCCCACTGATTTTCTGTGTTTCTGTGAGACCAAGCATTACTCAGGGCCTGTTGCAACTCTTCATTTTCTGCAGATATGAGTGGGTGGCTCACGCTGAACAAGACCTTTGCAGATCAGCCTCTTGTTATGGAGTAAGTATCAGCCTGAATGGTGCTAAGATAAACTCTGCTTTGGATATTTTGCTTGTAATGCTAGTAATGAAAACAGTACAATACCACCACTTACTATGGCCTTTAAAAATGACCTACACCTCTCTGATAGTGTCAATAAAATGTGAACATGATGTGTGTTTATTGTAAGGCTGCAGCATCAGTTTTTATATGTATTTATGAGTATACCTAATAAACTGTTACCCCAGTGTACGTTTTAATAAAGTGAATTTTAATGAGAAAAAAAAATCATCCCACAGTTTCAATGGGGACATGATCCCAGACATTCTTGGAGTCAACAGCTCCTTATCCATTGAAGTCTGCAATCTCACCAGCAGGTAATGTAATCATTTGAAAAGCTCACTTAGAATTTCCCATATTTATTTCTACTGCTCTCACACCTTGAGTTACTTTCTAAAATGCAGAGCTTTTAACTCCTGCTGTTGTCTTGTGGTTTGTCTTCCCTTTAGGATTCCATCATGTGAGAGTGCACTGAGTTCATCTGTCAAGATGCGCAAGCCACACTCTAACGCTTTCATTGACCTCAACAAGGACTTCACCGCTGGTGAGTCAGTGATGTTTAAACAATGTCTAACCATGAGAAACAAATGTAAAATGCTTTGGGGTTTTTCAGAGCACACAGCATACTCTTCAGGGAACCTGTGCACAACATCCGTCATCAGTCAAATATTTGCATTTTAAGCTATGTTTATTTTAAAAACTTAAACCTTATCTTAAAACCTCCTACTTTTTTAACAGCATATTTCAGAGTGTGATGTGTTTGTGTAACCTGCTAAACATGTGATAGATTCATTATTGCAAGTTCAGTTCTTTGTTTAGCTGTACAAATTTCTAATTTCACTGATGGGCCAAAACTATTCTCGTATAAAGAGTTTTCTGTATCATGGCAGCGTGATGATGAAGTGACTGTTTGAGGCCCTTCTGCATTATAATGCATCAACATGGTTTAAAGACACTGAAAGCAAGCATCTTCCCTATTAAATTGTCTTTTTTCAAGCCGACACTAAGCCTACTGTAAATTATAGTCAGGGCTAATACATTTAGCTTCTCTGCATGTTTCCGTGTAGGTATTTATTGACCCTGAAGATGTAAGTGAACACAGCTATAAAACCAACCACCCCCCCAGACCACTGTGTGCCCTGTACTTCACATTCTAGACTACGCATTTTGTCATGTACCATTGATTCATGACAACTAAATTGCCTCCACCTTCTTTTATTTTCTAGCCTTTTCCTGCACTATGGGCTTTCAGTTTTTCCCTACAGTGTTATTAATTTGTAGGAGAATGCTAGGTATAAAACAAGACTCCATTGAGTCCTGGTTGACATACAAACTAAAATGGAACAAAGAACAACCAGTGCTGAAATGACAAATCCTCGTATCAGCACTTTGGGAGGCCGTTTTTTGAAAAGGGCTGCAATTCTGCACATTTAATTACATGAGGCCCTCTGAGGACCCACATGCCTTTGGCACATTTGGTATTTTTCATCATACATGTCTCCTGTCAAAAGCTAAACACCAAAAAGTCTCAAGTGTAATCCTCAATGTAATACTAACATATAACTTGAAGCTGCAAGACTACGACATCAGCTTTAAAGTAGTCCCATCAGTTCTGAAAGTGCTTCCCCTATCCTGAACTTTTACGAACCTGGAAGGCTTTGGTTTTAGGTTCTGCCTTATGTTTCTACTCTGCTTTACAAACCAGAACATATTCTTTGGATTTGCTTTGGATACCAGGACAAACATAGTAATTTGTATGTGCTTATGTTTGGTAGGCAGTTCAGTTGTGGGTCAGTTAGTAATGTAAAAAGTGGCACTAATAATGATCTTGTTTCACATTTACATGTAATGACTTTTCAACCTCATTATCAATAAATTACTAGAAGATAGTAGGAGCAGTAGGACCTGGAGAGGGTGGGTGTATAGAATACAGCACAGAGTGAACTATACCGGCACCAGACCAGCTCCTGCACTGTGGACGCCAAAGCCCGCCACATCTGTCAGGACAGGTCGTTTGCCGCGCTGCCATATTTCCGTACTCTCCTGGGCAGGGTGGGAAATTAGCACAAGCCACCAGCCAAATGCCAGTAAAATATAAAAGTGCCTGGTAGATTTCAGACAAAATAACCATGTACTATTGAGTGGAAGGTGAATTTGAACTTGTATCTGTCAGTAACTGGTAGCTGTTCACATTTTATAAAAGTTAATATTCCACGTAAGATGGGAGGGTTCAGCTGAAGAATGGGGTGGAGAACAGGCTGTTGGATACAGTGAATTTGTTTTTCAAAGTGAAAGTAAAATGTAGCGATACGCTGCCGTTACTCGCTCTGCCCCACTAATTTATTGGAAAAAAATAGAACAGGAGTCCAGGTACAGTAGAAACCAATTTACAAACCGTGACAATGGCTACACATTAGGTCACAGGTTGTTAATTCCTGTATGGAAAAAGCCTAATGACCTGTGTCCTGTTTGGTTTATCATATACGTCATTAAGTCAGGACTTTATTCTCCCTGCCTCTCCATCCTGATGAATGTATATCAGCATATACATAAGGCTCAGTATTTATTTGTTGTTTATTTAAATAAATAAGATGCCACTTAGCTGTGTTTATTTAGGTGATACAAACTTGCAAATTAGGTAAACTGAGACATAAAATCTGTGTGATTTGCTTATGTTTTTTTAAATCTAGGTATTTTTCAGTAAAAATTGGTAAGAACTGCAAACAAAGAGCCTTCAATATACTGTGCGGAGAAGAGGATTACCATATTTTTAGATGATCCCCGGTCCCTGGTTTATACATTCTCTCCAGACCAAAGCTGACCTCTGTTCTTGTAAAAAAAAATTGTATAACTAATACTTGTAAACTTGAAATTTGCTTCCACAAGTGAATCCCACAAAGTTTCCCTGGAGGAAACTCCAGGAATCAGACAAGAGGCCACCAATTTTCAAGTTGACTAAGAGAGAATGGAATAGCCATTTTCTTCACCAGTGAATGGAGAAATCACCTCGTTCTTGTTTTACAGCATGTCACTCCTGTCCTTCTGCCCACTAAGTGTAGTGCTGTCACTTAGACTTATGGGAGGATTTTGTTTTTACCTGTGGAAACTAATCCTCATGTTTAAGGTAATCATAGAGGATTTAGTCATGTCATACTCACTGCAGGTATCTTTTTGTGTTGTGTAGTTTTATTCCCAGGGCTGTCACAGTTCAACCAGAGCAGATTTTAAGTCATTTTTAATCTGTTTAGGGATTAAGAGAAAGTCAATAAACTTAATGAAATCCTGGTGGCAGTATTTGGTGTTTTGGTTTTAATACAGATTGGATTGTGTTGGGGCATCATTGGTTTTTACTGCTTTATACATTTCTCTGCAACCCATCAGTCAGTCAGAGTGATGGCCTGCATGTCAGCCTGCCTTTCACTCTCTTGATAGGCTGTGCAGAGCCTGTCTCTGCTGTAGGAAATCTCCTCTCGCTTCCTCTCCCCTACCCATATGTACACACACACTCACACAAACCCACAAGGACAGTGATCATTAAATCCCTGTGACTTCTTAAGTGCGTTCAGCTGCGTTCAGTTTTCTGTGAGTGAATGTGCAGCAGGAACAACGGAGCATGAGGATGAGAACCAGTGTTGTACATCTGGTGGATGTCAGACTCTTTGGCTGCCACTGTCTGTGGGGGCATGCAGATGGAGAGTGTGAGAGAGAAGAAGAAGAAAGTAGGCAGGAAGTGATGGAGAAATAAAGCCGAATCTGAGAGGATGAATGGTTGGATGAATTGTTTCAAGAAAAAGGATGATGGGAAAGATAAAGGGCAGAGGATGGGTGGGAGGGGGACGAGCAAGGCGGTGGGTGAGTCTTCAAGCGTGGCTCAGCTCTGCTGCGACCACCTGCTCCTCTAAGCGTTACCGGCTGGAGCATCACAAAGTGGCTTAAGCAGGGAGAGAGTGAGTTTTAAAGACAATCTGGGTCCTGCTAGTTAGCCAGTTACAGTTGGAAGCTTTTCAACTGCTACTGATCATATCACGAGAGCCTGAATAACTGTTGGTGCAATAATAAATGAAAAAAACCCCCAGTATAATTCTATACAACTCAACTCTACCATAAACTAAAGCTTCCAAATGAAGATATAGACTTCAGTCAACGTCTCATGCGTTATGCTTATTTGCATTTTTCATTTAACCTCCTGGGTAATCCTGTGTTTGTTAATGTTTTGGCCCGAGGTTTCCAAAAGTTATTTGAGGCACCTCTAGCCACAAAGTGTTTATAGCTCATAAGGAATCATGTGCCTTGAAATTGTGTAATATTAATGAGAATAAAATGAGGGAATGAATGCTCATTAATCTCAATTCATCTTAATTAAGACATGCAGAGTTGTGTTACTGTGGGGAATAAGTGTAAATGCAAATTTACCCAATGCAAATTGGGTAAATGGGGGGAAAATAAAAAGTTTTAAAAATGTATTTGAATTTTACAGAGGCCTCATAAAGGATCCAACAGATACTCGTGGGCCACAACGGTTCTGTGTAATGAAAAAAGTCAGGCTCATCTTTTTTTGGCTCATGTGGAATTACGAGTCCATCTTAATTAGTATGTCTAAAATGACTGTACAACCCTAACTCTACTAATCAATCCACAGGACACAGTGAAAACACAGCATAGCAAAACAACTAGTAATAAAACTTTATAATAGGGATAAGTGGGACACCTTGCCTCTAATCATTTTGAACAATGTGTCCCCTCTCTCACCTCCCAGTACAGTAATACAGTGAGGTATTCTGTTAGTGTGGTCCAAGGAGGGTGAGGGCTGTTTCAGGGCCGTGTCACGACTCCAATCTCAGTCCAGTGTCATAGCTGTAAACAGTCCCATGGTAGTGTATTGGCTGACCTTACTACATCAGCACTGCCAGCGAAAAAAAAAGTCTGGAATTGTTTCCTGGCTGGTGTCAAGGCCTCATTTAGGCCGCTTATTGGACTCTCCAGCCAACCAACCTGGCGCAGACATGCTGCATATGGCTCGTAATCTCTTTTGTTACTATCATCGTCCTCCAGCCAGTGTCTCTGACGGCAACGCATTCATAACAGCTTTGTGTTCATGGTCTTTTGTTTCCCGGTTATTTTGCCTCTGTCCTCACACACTGAGGGATTTCAGGTCTCTTTAAGGAAGTTGTTTTTTTTTTCCAGCTCATTGTATGACTTTTGTACTTCAGGCAATAATATATACACAGTGTCAAGAGTGTAAGGAAAGTTTAGGAGAACATTGCCTGCAGCCCTTTGCACAAATCCACTGGGACTTTCCTCTGTAAGAGTAAACCATGTCTTCAACATTTTGGCCCAGTTACCTCAAGCTAGTCTAATAGTTAGCGCCTAGAAACAGTGTTGCCATGAAAAATTTTGTATGTGCAGTATATTGGTATCTTTGCGCCACAAAGGTAAAGATATCATTAAGCATTGGGCTGGCTTTGTAGATGTAGTTCTGTTCAGGTTACTTCTCACCACAGTGACAACTAATTAGCAGGAAAACGGCTTTTGCAGGACAGCCAG